GTTAAGCCGAGGTTATGTTAAAGGAAGTTGGTTTAACACTCGTTGAAATTTTAAGAAATACTTCTAAGTATTAGGACAAAGTTGAGGAAAACTGTTAGTGGGAATAGCCAAAGTATTCCACACCGAGAAGATTACACAGTCAAGGTGTATGTTGAAGACATGAAAATTATTCTAAGTATAAAGAGTCATACAAGAGTAAAGGAAGACAAACATACAGTCACATTGAAAGAACAAAGTTATACAAGCATTCAAAAAAAGAAGTTGTATTTACATTTAAAGAAAAGGCACTTCGACCTGACATTGAAAAGTAATTGTTCAAATTACAAAAGTGGCACATCGGCCAAATTCAAGCTTACACTGTTTCAAAAAGAAAGGAAAAAGTCTAAAAGAGAAAGACATAAACAAAACTACTCGGCATCAGCTGCGGACTGTGTTTCGACCCCAGAAGATAATTGGGAAGACTTCTCGGCAGTCTTCTCAGCCTCGAGCTCAGCATCGATCTCCTGTAGAGTTTGATCGAGGCTCTTCTCGGCGATTGGCACCTCGGAGTTTGTCTTCTAGGAGGAGGTATCCTTTGAGGCCTCGTCTTCCTCATCCTGAGCCAACTCCACGACTTGCTCATTCGGAGTAGGGGAGTTAGACCCACCAACTTCATTTTTTTTGTCCTTACCAAAGCTTCCTTCTCGGACTCAGAATCATCTTCGAATTGGCTTGGAGTATGGGGGAATGGCAAGGGAAGGTCGCCAGCGTTTTTGAGGGGGGAGTCCTCGGGGGCATCAAGCTTTTTGAGGGCAGCCATCTAACCAAGGGTGAAACCCTTGTTACATGCCTGCCTCACCTGTTTTTTGTAGTCCTCTTTGACGTCGGCCGCCCCCTCAACATACGCCTTCTCATCGGCGGCCTTGATCTCGGCCTCTTTTGTGGCCAGGGCATCTTGAAGCTCTTTTTGGGCCTCAGCCATTTTTGCCTCGGCTTCTTTCTTTTCGGCCGTGAGGACCTTGGCAATGGCCTCTGCGGAGTCAGCCTTTTTCTCGACATCATCCTGAGCCTTCTTGGCTGCGTCGGCCTGATCTGCCAAGGTCTTCATCTTTTCCTTGGCCTTGTTAATGATCTTCTGTAAACCAACAGCCTTTTTGGCCTTATTCGCCAACTCCTTCTTAAGGGCAAAGGCCTGCATCGCAAAGGAGTGGCCATGCTGGATCGCCTAGAAGAAATGAAAAGAAACAAGTTAGCAAAACACTCTAAGCATGAAATAGCTGAAGAAGGATGAAAAAATTACAAAGTGTTCAGGGCTTACTTGGACAGAGCGTTGCAGCATCAGAGCAAAGTTCTCATACTCGCTCATCCCGGCGTTGCACTCAAGATCGTTGGGAAGGAGCAAGGCGGTAGAGAGGGCAACGCCGACTTCAATGTCTTCGGCGCTGTTGCCAACCCTAACCGGCTTGTCCTCAATTGTAATCGGGGGAGCCCAGAGGGCATCAGATTTCATAGAGCCCAAGGTTGTTGTGGGCTCTGACCTTGGCCTCTTTGACCGAGTTGATTGGGATGGTTCGGCCTCGGCGGGCCTCTTCTCGGCGGCATAGGGTGTCTTCTCACTCTCAGCCAATTTTGAAATAGGCAAGGTGTTCTCAATGTCAATCTGAGTCACCGTTGCCTTAGGCTGAGCCTTCTTTAGTCTTTTGGGCTTTGGCTTCGGTTGAGGCTGGGATTGTGCTAGTTGAGCGTTGACGGTGTCGGGGATGTTAGCTAGAAGATCTTCTGCGACTGCTTTCTTGCGGCCCATCTCCGCAGTGATTGCAATTCGGCGCCTGCGTCGGTGTTGAGATGGAGGGATTAGATATGGAGCTGAGGTTGATGGTTGCTCAACTAGATCAGAAGTTGATCCCTGATCTGGTCGAGATGATGAAGCTGGTGGAGGAGTTGTGGCGGAAGGAGGAGATTTGCTCTTCTTCCTCAGGGCGTCGGGTAAAACGGACTTGTAGGTGGAGATATAGTTGAGCAGTAGGGGAGCTCTCCACCTTTGAACTGGCAGATCTAACAGCTTCTTGAGGTCCTTGCTCGGAAAGAAGGACTTACGAAAGTCCTTTGCCGGTTGAGGAAGAGCTGCAAGAAAACACAGACGTTAGTGTATAAAAAGAACAAAGTATTAAAGACTTGAAAAACAAGTGTAACACTTGGCTCTTACCATTATCCTCAACGAATACTGTTCGCCTAAGAGGGTAGAGGTGAAGGTCCTCATCTGGAGCGAACTCCCAGTTCCCCGAGACAATGAAGTAATTGTCCCCGGCTCCCTTGTTGGAGTTTGGGAGGTTGGCAACAAGTTTGTACTTGGTGGACCTCGGTTTGAGGTTGTAGATATGGCCTTTTTCTAACTTAAGGCCACACATGGTGTAGCAATATTGAATGTCGGCTAAGGTTACCCTAGTTTTTTCTTTTTTGGCTAAGGCTATTATGCCGTTGATAATTCGGTAAGAGTTGATGGCGAGTTGCATTGGGTTTAACTTGTAGTAATGGAGGATTTCTCAGAAAAGAATGTCAAGTGGGAGCCTAAGCCCACACTCTGTGAAAGCTACAACTGGGAAGGGCATGGAGTCGATTGTGGGCATGATGGAGTCATCCTCTCCAGCTAATCTGAGATGGACGTCAGCCGGGATATCAAACTCTTGCCTAAAATACTCTAACTTGACTGGGGTGTCCACCCTATGCTTCTACATACCCATGATGTCGGCTTGGGAGAAACTATTGGCTTTCAGAAAGAAGAGTTTCGTGAAGGTTTGAAAGACCTCAGCTAAAATCTAAATATGTGCTGGGGTAAGAATTTATGGGGATCTAAGCGGAATTCGTTTCGGTTTTCCCTAGGATTCGTGAGTTCTAAAATGGATCCCAAACCTAAGTCTAGGCAAACAAAGATTGAAGGCAAGAATCTGGAAAAAACACAGAAAAAAAAAACAAGAACAAAGATTCAGAATCAAGAAATAGTGATGAACCACCAAGAACACTGTGATAGAGTGTGCAAGGGTGCAAGGCCAAGAACAGTGGCACAAATCAACATATATGTAAGCAGTGTGTGAATATTCACGAATGGATTGGGCAAAAACAGAAATCGAAACAAACATGCTTAATACATGGTGGAAATTGAGATACGAATAAAACGATTAAAGACACGAGCAAATTCGCAAAGGCAGCAAGTAAAGCAATAGAGTTCTTTAGAGACAAAATGAGAAATTGAAACAAAGAGAAACAGTAACTCACCGAAGAAAATGAAGCCGGTGTTGAGTACGCCGGAGTCAGGTAATGATTGCAATCGGAAAAAGTCAATGAAAGCTTCACTAGAGGGGAGGAATGAAAGTAGTTGCAGAGCTTGAAGGTTTGAAGCAATGGCGGATTTGGGGAGTAGAGAGAGAGAGTTTGCACGAAGATGATGGTGAAAAAGTGAAGAGACGGAGAGAGAGAGAGAGTTGGTTTTGATTAAACGCGGAAAATGGCGGCAAAATACCATCAATGTACCTAGGACGACACGCTTGTCAGACGGCGCACGCAGAAACAATGTGACTTGATGGCGCGTGTTAGGTACGACTCAGTAGGGGAAAGACGCGTGGCAGAAACGGTTGAAATACTGTGCGTGACAGCTCATACGCGCGACAAAACTCTTGGAGTTCTTGATTTAATGAAGCAAGGGCATCGACTGATGAGGAGATCTCGACTCAATGAACTTAAACGAACTTGGTTATTGGTTCCAAAGCATTAATGAAAGCAGACTATAATTCTTGGTTATATTGAGCCGACGAGTTCTGACTTTGACAATAAATGATGAAGTGAGCTTAGCTGACGTGCTAAAAGAAAGAAATGATATAGGCACCTCAGGATGTCAAGGTAATAGAACCTAGGCGGCAGTTGTGGGGACATAATTTTTGAGTGGTGACACGTGGCCAAGGTGACACCGAAGTGACAGCCAAGGTGTCACGTGTCCTAGTCATGACGCCAAGGTAATCTTGGCTAGGCCAAGGTTATCTCCGAAGATACCGGAGTCTGGGATAAGCGGATAGAGGACAAGAGTCCTAGAACGAGAGAATGCTTCAATTTGGATAAAGATAAGACTCTTAGAGAGTTTATCCCAATCCTACTGGGAGTCCAAGATTAGTAGTAATCCAGGATCCATTGGAACTAGGTTTTTATTGGGACTAGGATCGTGATGGCTATAAAAGGGAGGTACCCTCGTGGGTCTAAGGTATGCTTTTTATATTCTGAATAGTGAGTTAAGCACTTTTGCTATCTTTGAGAAATAACTGACTTGATCGTCGGAGTGCCCCGAGTGGACGAACCACTGCTGGAATCTCATTTTTCTGTTACAGGTCATTCAGACGCCATCTATTATGCCAGTGCTCTCTAGTTGAATACTAATTAACAGTGCGGTCAGAAATCTACTCACACATAAAATACTTACATTTTTAAAAATAATAGAATAATAAATTTGATATATTAAATAGAGGATTTTTATGTCAAATTGACATATATCATTTTGCCACCTAAATTTTCAAAAAAATTCGACACAATTTTGATGTTTTGGATGGAGATGCTCTGACCTGTTTGGTTTGTAATAGATCAATGCAGGCCGAAAACAATGATTATCAAAAAGTAATCAAATGATTAATGATAAAAATTATATATATATTTTTATTAATGTGTAAAAAATTTTAAACATTACCACTGAATGCTAATTTCTTCTAAAAAAAAAATCACAGTCATAAAAAATTTCAAAAGATAAAAAAAGTCAAAATATCACATCATCTACAAAACTCAATCACTTCTATCCTTTCAATTATCTATTAAACTAAAAAAATAATAGGAGACAAAAAACTGTCTACTCACTTACTAACCTTACATTCCTCACTTTCTATCCTTACAGTCCAGCGAGACCTAACATTCCAGCGAGACAAAAATAACTTTCCAAACAGAACCTCAATTATTGACCCAGTCTAAGAGAAAAACTCTCGTCTTGTATAAATTCATTGGAGGATTTCTACGAAGCCTTAACCAAACACCCAACAAGAAGCTAAGAAAGTCTCTCATTACTATGGATTCATGTTCATCGAAAAAACCCATCACATTATGTTTGGGGATATTTCTATTCCTATTCCTTGTCGGAATGGCCTATGCTCAGTTATCCTCAAATTTCTACTCATCATCATGCCCTAATCTCCTTCCGACGATAAGAGCAGTAATCGACTACATAGTGTCTCACGACAATCGCATGATGGCGTCCTTGCTCCGTCTTCACTTCCATGATTGCTTTGTTAATGTCAGTTTTCACTCACCACTTTTATCTATCTTTTTTTTTTAATCTCTCCTTATCAAAAAAAATAAATAAAACTCCAGGGTAGAACGAGCAAGGATCCTCTAGAGTGATTTTTCTCTAAAGTTTCCTAGAGTGCTATACTGTGTGGTTGAGATTTACTGGCAAGTCACATCAATTTTTCTGATATGACTTGTCAGTAAATCTCAACCACACAATGTAGCACTCTAGGAAACTTTAGGAAAATTTCACTCTAGAGGATCCTTGGTGGGGTAGAACGGGGTAACACAATAAATTCTAATTTTTTAATTTTGGTCATTTTAAATCTTGATTTTTATTTATTTATTTTCTATTTAAAATATTTGTCTATTTTCCTTAAGATTGACACAAAAAAAGAAAAAGATATTTTAGTCATTAAATTTAATAAAAAAAATTATATTTTAGATAGTTTTTGTATTGAATTTAATGATTAAAATATTAGGCTCCGTTTGGTTAGAGTTTCAAATTATAGTTTCACTCATTGATTTGAGTGTATTGTTTGTTTTGAACTTTCAAATTATAATTCTACACCCATTTCTCAAAATTCAATTCAAAACATAATCTTTACTTTTCAAAACTCATAACCAAACACATAATTCAAAACTCTTTTCAAAACTTAATTCAAATCAATATTTTAATTTTTTAAATATTTTAATATGATACGATTTTTTTAATTTTTTGAATATTTTTAAATATTTTAATTTCAAAATATTACGATTTTAATTTTTTAATTTTTAAAATATTTTATAAAAAATAAATTCAAACTCTATTTTATAAAAATATTTTTAAATATTTTAATTTTTTTGTTATGTATTTGGTTACGATTTGAGTGTAGAGTTGTGAAAGTAGTATGAAGTTTTGAGTTATGTGTTTGGTTATGAGTTTTAAAAATAATTTCTTAATTGAGTTTTGTTTTATGTGTTTGATTACGATTTGAGTGTAGAGTTGTTTTTAAATTTAAAATATTAACATTTTAAATTATTTAAATATTTATTCAAAATTTTCATTTATTAGATTTTTTAGATTATTTAAATTATTTAAATATTTATGAATTAAATTTTTTGAATATTTATTTTGAAAAAAAATTTATTTCCTTTGTAGTATTTTCAATTAAAAAATTGATTAATGTTATTTTCTGTTAATAATAATTTTTTAATTGAATTTTAAAAAGAGTTTGGTTATGAATATTGATCAGAATTTTCAATAGTGTGAAAGTAGTGTATTTTGTTATGAGTTATAACAATTTAAATTAAGTTTTGAAAACTTTTTTCAAAACTCATAACCAAACAAATTTTCTTACTTCACATGTCAAATCAAATCAAACTTTCAAAACTCAATTCCACATTCAATTCAAAACTCAATTCAACACCCTCTTCAAAAACCATAACCAAACAAATTATCTACACTCAAATCATAATTTCACAATTCACAAACTCAAAATATAACTCATACTCTCTAATCATATTTATAAAACTCTACCAAACGCAACCTTATTTTTTTCATTGATTTTATTTAATGGAAATAGTTTAATTATTTAGATTGAAAACAAATTATAAGAGTATAGTTTAAATTGATAAAATTAATAATTTAATATTTATTATGTTGTAAGGATCAAATTATGGATTTTTTTTTTTTTTTTAAAAGAGAACTACATGCAGGTAAGAAAAGGAAAAAGAATACGTGACACTTGCACTCCTACAGTTTTTCATTTACACCGTATCACAAACACACTTATACCCCTCATATGTTGGTATTTTTTTTTTTTCATCTGCATGTAGTTCTCTCTTTTTTTTTAATTTCCCCAATTATTAATTTGAAACCATGTGATATTACTTACATAGTATTCTCAACAAATAGAAAAGAAAAAATTACCAATAATTAAGTAGTAGTTTCAAAAAATTATTACTGAAAAACTTTATGCTTTTAATTATTAATGTTTATAAGATTTACTATTTATTTATAATTTTTTTTCAAAACTATGCTGAAGTGAAATTTCTCCAATAAAAATCACAGAACCATCAACTCCCAACGAACATGAAAAAGGTAGATCAACATTATCCCATTAGTTAAATTTTGTGTCACATTGTTAGTCGTAGTTGGAAACACGACGTGGAGAACGTCACTTGAAACAAATAATTCATTAATAGATTAAAATTTTAAATAAGAAATACCTTTTTTTTTTTGGTTATACAGATTACTTTTTTTTTTTTTTTTAATTTAATATTGTATTGTGTAACAAAAATGAAACAGGGATGTGATGCATCAATTCTTTTGGATGACACGGAGACCTTCATCGGAGAGAAAACAGCTCCTCCAAACAACCATTCATTGAGAGGATATGACTTAATCGATGCCATTAAATCTCAAGTGGAAAGTTGGTGCCCCGGTATTGTTTCTTGTGCTGATATTTTAGCTATTGCTGCTCGAGATGCGGTTGTCACGGTAAAGAAAAAATCTTTGATAATCTAGTTTGTTCATTTTTTAGATCCTTGTAAATATATTGTTAATTAAAAAACTCAAATTGATCCGATTATTTTAACCAAGTTATAAATAAATGATTTATTTTCAAAATAATTCTTACTGTCCATTTTTTTTTTTTTTTAAAAATGTGACTACAATTATCTTATCGAATTTTTTTCAAGGATAATCACTAAATTAGGCCGAGATGGGAAATTAGCCGTTCTTTGGGTCACAGTAAGGGCTGAATGAAAGGGGGCTTGTAGTTGGCCCAGTCCTAGTAAGCCTTATTGTTATCCCGGTCCGAAAGAACCATGTAGTTAGTCCGGTCTAGTGAAACTTTGCATATAGCCCGGTCACCGTACTCAAAGTTAGCCCGGTCATGGCTTATCGTGGTTATCTCGGTCAGAATGTTGCTGTTTGTTAGCTCGGTCTGATCACATCATGGTTTGTGCATAAGAAACCTTGGTAAGAGCAGGGAAATGAAGAACCAAACTAGCTATAGTTCGGTCTAATCTGCGGCTAAGCATAGCCATGCATACCTCGGTCATATTGGAATCCGACCGAGGTAAAACTATCTCACTTGGTTTAAGCAGTGAGGGGGGTATTGAAGGATAAATATTATCTTTCAGGAGTGATTCCTAGGAGGACTCTGCATGGAGGAATAAGAGTCCTACTAGGATTGTGCCACGCGGAACCTATAAAAGCTCATAACATCACCTATGAAGAGATAACACAACTTTGATTTTTGAATACACAGAGCTTTTGTCTATTTGTCTATTTTGCTGACTTAGGCATCGGAAGGGTATCTGGCACACACCCGCCGGCTAGCTCACGTTTGTGTTTTCAGGGAGTAAAGTAACGACGTTCGGAGGAGCGCAAACTTGATCAACAGGATTATACGAGAAGGTTTATTTCTGTTCTGCACAACTACCTACAAAATGAAAAGATCATATTATCAAATAGGACCCCACAAAGGCCATACTGGATAGTCCGTCTAACTCACAAATGTATATAATCATTTCATTTGGTATATTATCTCGTGTGCTACAATCTCAACGACCACTATTTTTAATGCAACTCATGCTAGACTCATTATATTAAAATTGTGTTTGTGTCGCATAAAATTTTGTTGGAAATAGTTTTGGAAAAATTTGATTTTTTCTCAATTTTGATCTAAGTTTTAGGTGGGATCCAATGGGCTAAAGTTAGCGGGTCTAACTGGTAATGGGTTTTATGTCGCGTTGTGATTCACGTAGTGTATTTGGTTGCTCAAAACCATTATCGGGTGAATGAGAAATTAAAGTCAAAGTGAGCTCTATGAAAATGATGTTTTGTTGGAATTTCCATAAAAGTTTGAGTTAAAGCTGTTTCATATTGGTTTGGTAGGCAAACTTTGTGTGGGTTTATAAGGTTTGAGATTGGAACTTGGGGTCGGCCCCAAGGGGCACTCAAGTTTTGCTTCAGGGGAGGTTATGTGCAAAGTGGGTTAGACCCATTAGACCCAAAACAAACACACACGCGTGCCACCCTCCGGGCGGGCTAGGCTGGGTGGATGGTATGAGAAGGGGTGTGCACGGTGCGGTTCGGACGGTTTGAGAATAAAATTACAAACCGAATGATGGATTGGCGGATTGACAATTTGCGGTTTGGGCAGTTTTTGGCGGATTAGCGGATTGAAAAATATTCTAACTAATTATTATACATTTTCACAATATATAACACTAATTTGTATAATATTTTTTAGATATATAACACAATGTAATTTTAAATAATATATTTCATATATATAACCACTAATTTATAATAAATTTTATATTTTAAATCTCTCTCATACTCATTTTTACATTGATATTTCATTGGAGGTTAAAAAATATATATGTATTAACTATAGCGTAGCGGAGCGGTTCGGTTGGCGGATTATAAATTTGAAAATTTAAACCGCGGTTAGCGGTTAGAGCCGTGCAGATAGATGCGGATTGGTGCGATTTTAACGGATTGGGCGGTATTTTGCATAGCCTTAGGTGTGAGGTAAACATTGGGCTAAAAACTTTTGGAATTTTATTTTTTTAAAATTAAATTCTTACCTTTTTTTTTGAATTTGAATTTCGAAATTAATTCTACAATGGTGTCCAGATTTTCCTTTACCCAAATAGATTTATATTTATTTAAATTCTGTCTAAACAGATTCAGTATCTGTTCAAATTTCAAACCAAACAAGTTCCTTACTGTAGTGAACAAGTATTATACCTGTTCAAACATGTTTGCTACTTGTTTAATTCAAACCGACAAGTCACCATTGCTCCCATAAATAGATAGACCATCATTTGGATTTTCACACAATTTTCGTTCTTAATTCTATGATTACTCTTTGCATTTTGCTGCATTATTTTTCTATCAGAAAGTGTATAAACACAAAGTGTGTTCGTTGTGTAAATAGTTTGTAGTGCTACTACTGTTTGTTGAAGATCATTTCATTCTGGAAAATACAAATATTATTCATATACTGTTTGATAAATAGTAATAATATACTATTTATTTTCTTTGACAAATAGTAGTAATATACTGTTTGTCATTAACAATTTCAGAATATTAATTTGTGTAGTAGTGTTACAGAAAATTATTGTGTAGCATTTTATTTTTCTAGTTTTAGTAACTAGAAAATTAAAACTATTTTGTGTTATAATTTGTTTTCTGATTTTAGTAACTAGAAAATTAATTTGTGTTTTGATTTTTTTGATTTTTGTAATAAGATATTATGGTTACTGAAACTGAAAGTGATACTCCAATTGTTACAACGACTCTGGCCTCTATCCAAAACCATGTTCAAGTTCCAATAAATCATGGAGAAAAATCGAAAAAATTTAATGGCATTGAGTTTAAGAGATGGCAACAGAAAATGTTGTTTTATCTTACAACTCTAAATCTGACCCGGTTTCTCCATGAAAAGGCTCTAGTACTTACCGAGGATGAAAGTGATCAGTAAGTTGTTGCCATGATTTTCTGTGTAGAAATTACATCCTCAATGGACTTGACAACATACTGTATAATGTTTACAGCTCTCTGAAATTCGCAAAAGAATTGTGAGATTCTTTGGAGAAAAAATACAAGACAGAGGATGCCAGCACAAAGAAATTTGTTGTTGGCAAATTTCTGGACTTTGTTATGGTAGACTCTCAAACGGTAATTTCTCAAGTTCAGAGTTTTCAATTAATTTTGCATGACATTCATGCTGAAAGTATGTCTCTGAGCGAGTCTTTCCAAGTTGCTGCGTTAGTGAAAAAATTACCACCAGCTTAGAAAGATTTCAAAAATTATTTAAAACATAAACACAAAGAGATGACCATGGATGAACTTATTGTAAGACTAAGAATTGAGGAAGATAACTGTAAGGCTGAAAAGAGGAATGGTAAAAATTTCATTGAGTCCAAGGCTAATATGGTTGAACAAGTGCCCAAATAACATAACAAAAAGAGAAAGTTTGCTGGAGATGGTCCTAAATAAGGCGACAACAATGGTAATAAGAAATTCAAAGGAAAATGTTATAACTGTAGCAAGACCGGACATCGTGCCTCTGATTGCCGACGCCCTAAGAAGGATCGCGAAAGTATAAGCAAGAAGACCACCAATCAAGCCAATGTGATAGAATTAGATTACATCTCTGGTGGGGTAAATGACATCAATCTCTCTGCTGTGGTGTCTGAGGCTAATTTGGTTGGAAATCCTAAGGAATGGTAGGTTGATACTGGGGCAACTCGTCACATTTGTGTGGACCAGAAGATGTTCACTACTTACAATGAGGATGCAAATGGTGAACAACTTTTCATGAAAAATTCTTCTACTTTTACTGTGGCTAGACAAGGAAAGATGATCTTGAAGTTGACATCGGGGAATGAACTTACCCTCAACAACGTGCTGCATGTATTAGACATCTGGAAGAATTTAGTTTCTGGTTCTTTCGTTAAGTAAGAATGATTTTAGGCTTGTATTTAAGTTTGATAGATTTATATTAACAAATAGTGGTATGTATGTGGTTAAGGTATATATGAGTGATGGTCTCTTTAAGTTAAATGTAATGACGGTTGTACCAAATTCTGCTATAAATAAGAATAACGTATCTTTTGCTTATATTTTTGAGTCAAATTTATGACATGGTAGATTAGGACATGCAAATTTTGATGCTTTGCGTGGATTAATTGGTTTAAATTATATACCAAAGTTTGAAATTGTTCCTAATCACAAATGTGAGATTTGTGTAGAAGGGAAACTGACTAAGGTTTCATTTAAATCTGTTGAAAGAAAAACCGAACCTCTAGAATTAATTCATACTGATGTATATGATCTTAAATTTGTTCAACTAGAGGAGACAAAAAGTATTTCATAACATTTATCGATGATTCACAAGATATTGTTATGTATATTTACTTAGAAGTAAAGATGAAGTTTTGGAAATGTTTAAACTCTACAAAACTGAAATTGAAAATCAACTTGATAAAACCATTAAAATGGTTAGAAGTGATAGGGGTGGTAAATATGATGCACCTTTAAATGAATTTTGTGCACAACATGGCATTACTATAGCACCCTATTCTCCACAGCAAAATGAATTGCTGCAAGAAAGAATAAAACCCTTAAAGAAATGATGAATACCATGTTATTAAGTTCAGGCTTACTGCAGAACTTGTGGGGGGAAGTAATATTGTCTATTAATTATGTTCTTAACAGAATACCCCACAAGAAAACCAACAACACTCGTTATGAATTGTGGAAAGGTCGACCACCTTCCTACAAATACTAAAAAGTGTGGGGGTGTTTGGCAAAACTAGAATTTTCTATTCCGAAAAAGTCTAAAATAGGATAAAAAACAATGGATTGTATGTTTATTGGTTATGTTCAGAATAATAGTGCATATCGATTTCTGACTTATAAATCAGAAATACCTGATATAAATGTAAACACTATTATAGAGTCAACGAATGCTGTGTTTTTTGAATATATTTTTCCTTACAAGAAAGAACAAGAATTAAGTTCACATAAAAGAAGTTATGATTGTACACAAAGTCAAGAGGCTAATGACAATCAAACACAAGAGGCTAGTAATGGTCTCGACCAACAGGATTTAACTGATGATAAACCAAG